TTCGGGCGGCAGTTGTTGATCCGCTTGCTCCGAATGAAGACACTCTGTTCTGGAGGGAAACCTCTAATGGACAATTCACCACAAAAACGACCTACCAGCTCAATGAGAACAGCCTTGAGGAAGACCAAAACAGCTCGACATGGAAAGCCATTTGGAAACTAAGAGTCCCGGAACGAGTCAAGGTGTTTGTTTGGATGGCTACACTTGGGAAGATCACCACGAATAGCATCAGGAAGCAAAGGAAGTTGACAACGAATGACTCTTGCGCTAAATGCCAGGGAATTTCCGAAATGGCCCTCCACTGCTTGAGAGACTGCCCAGCAGCAACCTTCGTTTCGAACAGAATCGTCCCGGAGAACAAGAAGCAAGCCTTCTTCGCTGCAAACTGCCAGGCCTGGTTCAAGGACAACATCAGGGACGTCTCCACTGAGAGTTGGAAGGGTAAATGAGGCAACTTTTTTAGCCTCATTGCTTGGATCATTTGGAAACAACGATGTGAGTCCATTTTCAAAGGGGTGAACATGACGAACTCCACACTTTTCAACTACGCCATTACCAAAGCCAAAGATTGGAGCGAAGCTTTTGAATGATGTGCTGCCAGGTTCGAGAACAACAACAAACCGACGCGCCAAGAAGCTCTGATCGGCTGGAAGCCTCCGCTGACAGGCTGGTTTAAACTCAATCGCGCAGCGCAAGGAACGCCGGGAATGACCACGGCAGGTGGTTGCCTCCGGGGCAGCTCTTGTAAGTAGATTAATGGTTTTTGCAGCAAAATTGGGATGGGAAGGACAATTACTGCGGAACTATGGGCAATCTCGCAAGGTCTGGACCTGGCCTGGAAACAGGGAGTGGACTTTCTAGTGGTTGAAACGGATTCCAAGCTAGCAGTGGTGCTCATCAACAAGCGTACCGACTTGACCCACCCGATGGCTACCCTGCTGGGTGTGATTCGGCGGAAAATGGCGCAAGCTTGGGTAGTTAGGCTAGTTCACACGTACCGCGAAGGGAATAGAGTCGCGGACTGGCTCTCGAAGCACAGTCTCGTCTATCCCTTCGGGATACATGAACTACCGCAACGCCCCATCGAGCGTGAACGCATCATCATGGATGACATCAGAGGGATCAGCTTCCCTCGCCAAATTGTCAGCAACGGGTAGCTAGTCTCACCTGGTGTTTTGCTTTGATCTGTTTACAGCTTTTGGTTGCTGGCCGTCTGTGTGATGTAATCCTGTAGCTCGAGAGGCTTGCAAGCAGAGCACTGCTTTGTTGTTGCTATGCTCTCTGCCTTTTCTTTCCTTCGGTTGTTACAACCTCCTTCTCAATCAAATTTTTTTTTTGAATACAATGTAATTATGATGTGTATTTAAATTTTATATTATTTGACATGCGGAATTTCGTATGACATTAAGATGACATCAAAATTATTTTTTCATTTTTGAAATTCTTATAAATTTTCATCACTGATGAATATTGTAATCTTAATGGTTATAACCAAAGTTGTTAAACCGGTTTAAGTCATTGAGCCTGTCAAGCAATCAGTTTAAAGTTTATTGGTTTGATCGACATCCAACCTATTTGAGCCATCTTATACCTTTTCTAAATATATTTACATATAAAATAGAAATTTAGTGATTGAAATGAAATCTACTGACTTATATATATTAAAAACTCAAATTACATATAAAAAAAACAAATCGATCTCAAGACCACCCACCATCCCTTGCCTCTTCCCCTTCCCTCTCTCTTTTTCTCTCTCTCTAACGATCAGAATCTTGATTTTGTAGAGCTCGTTTTTTAGCTCGACTTTCGTCGGACCTTGTCCAACCAGCCGCTCGTTATCGGTGTACAACCTTGGTTATAACACTCATGAATAATCATTCATAACTTGTCTATTTTATGATGTAGTCACTTAGTTGCCTATGACTGAAAATAGAATGACATAATAAAAAAACAGCTTGTCTGAAAAAGCGTAGCATAAATAAAAAAACCCATGAACATAACCTTTAGTCAATATTTATTTATTTTGCTTGAGAAACAATACATATATAGCAATACTGCAATATCTAAACCTTAAAGTATTTTGCACAATACAATAACAAAATAAGTAAGAAAATAACATTTTTCATCCATACTCTATAAAAAATTATTTATCAACCAACATACTTTAAATTTAGTTGAAGGACAATCTTATTCACTCAACACAAAAATTAAGCCTATCTTGTGGTACCTGCCTTGCTAATTCACATAACCACATAAATGCGTCCATGAAAACTCCAGCCCGACTTTCATGATTTGTCTTGTACTGTGGTTATTCCATATTAAACTAAGTAACTATGGATGATACTTATGGTCAATTTCCATATAAGATAAAAATATTTAAATAATTAAAATCATCTAGAAAAATTGGTATTCAGAACTTGTGTTCTTTTAAACTCACTCATTTGTCCAATCATGCCATTTTATCAAGAGATAGGAGTTAACAGATAACCAAACTATAATTTTAAAAAATATCACTTACAATTTGCATAACAATATCATTACTGTAATAGTTCTAAAAATTAATACCAAGTTAAGAATTCTACATCACATCTACATCTACACATTTAAATTCAATATACAATATTCGAATCAATGATATTTGGGTTGCAATTTTAAAATTATCCTCCATTTATAAGATAGAAATTAAAATTATTATTAAACTCAAACTAAAATGATCAAAATATGAAAATTCAAATATATCAAATAAAAAATAAATTACTTACTAATGAGTTATGGGCTAGGTAACAGTAAAAGAAAAGTAATATAACTTTTAGATTTTAGATTTTCAGATTTTGTATTTAAAAAGATACAAAATATTTCTGTAGTGCAATTGGTAATGGTTGTTGTCTTTGTTTGAAAAGATTATAGTTCAAATTCCAAGATTAATGTATTTTTTCTTATGAATAAAAATTAAATAATGATGATAAAGACACAATTACCCTTCCTATTTTCGCTTTCATTGCAGTAAATTTGAAAAACGGCTCACAACTCTGCTATAATATATTTGTAGATAGATGGAGCTACGTATAGTTGAGGAGTGGAGCTGGCTTGCACTGAAATTACAAAACAAAAAACTTGTGGTATTTTGAATCCAATATATGACAAGTGGTCAGGCGGCAGTGTGGTTAGTTACAAGATTAAAGTATTAAACTATTGGCTCCACAGCTTTTATATTTTTGTCTCGTTTTCCAACTTTAATTGTATAAAATTTAAGTCCTTATGACTTACCATTAGGTTTTGTAAGGTTAAGCTTAAATGCCATTGCAACATGCATAAAATGATTTTTACCTCAATGTATAGCTTGTATTTGCCTATTTGGTATATGAGATTACTCCAAAATATCAAATTGTATTATATGAGTATTAGATATAAATATAATTTGCTCTTGCTATGGCAATTGTTGGATCAGGTTAAACAAGAAAAAATATATTTTCTAATACAAATTTTTTCTTATGGTAGATCCTTTGTAAGTTGAGAAATTTATTGACTAAATTTTGAAGTAAATTCTAGTAAACCAGGTCAATCATGTTAATATTGAACTGATTGTAGTAAAAGGTTAGCTTGAGAGATTTCAGTGATATTAAAAAAATGATTGAAATATTAATACGAAAATTCTTTTCTCATATCATCATTTTGATTTTAATTTTTTTTACTGAGTAGCCCGAATCTTGAATCCTTGCTTTGCTCTAGCTAAAATTCTATTTCAATTTTTATCTAAGGTGAAAATGTGTGCATTTATATAATGAAAAAACATTATTAAATGGTAGAATATGGGACCAGTAGGCCTCCTTTTCCAAAATTTTGATTTAATCATGAGAACCTATTACCATTTGTTATTTTCACCCCATTATTATTTTAAATCCTGACACGCCACTGCCGTTAAATGTGTTTTCGCTTGGTAAATTTTTGTCACGACAAAAGAAAGCATTTGTGCTGGTCTTCCGGCCGTGCCCAAAGCCTTCGATACGCTGCATGGATCCGAAACTTCTGCTGAAAATTCGTACACACTCGCTACTTACTCATCGTTCCACACTTGTCTTTTTTAACAGTCTCTCTCTTCTTTCTTTACCATCAAAATCAGAAGTAACTTAACTTGTTAATTGTTTTTATTATACCAAAATTGACCTCCCCCTCTTCAGTCTCACAATAAGGGCAGTAAAAATTTTAAAATAAAAAATTAGTAAAAGGGTAGTTCTCTTACTTGAAATTGAATAGCGACAGAGGTATATGAAGTAATTTAGGTCAAGTTGAAATCGAAAGCATGAGAAAAAATTGTAAAAATAAAAGGCAACCGTTGAAACCTTAAAGAGTAAAGAAAAATGAAAGCTTATTTATTGCCATAACTCGTAAGCCTTTTTGAAGAATAGATTTCATGACTAATCCGCAAGAGGTTGGTCTCGTGATAAAGCAGATAATAATGTTCACTACATTATTTGAACTGAAAACTCACAGAAATAAACACTTATTCCTAGAATGGATTCCATAACATATAGCTTCTTGAAGATTTTCATAAGAAAAGAAGAAATTGGAGAACAATTCTATAGCTACAATTGATGTAAAAAAACATGAAAACAAATGGCTTATACTTCATAAGCAAACAAATTGAAACAATTCCTTTTCTTTTCCCTCTTTTCCCCCACTATTTAAAGTCATCTCTTGGTTCTAAATCAAAATGAGAGAGCTACTAAAGCCAAACAAGCCCTCCTCCTCCAATCACCAAAAGATTGAACAAAATTCATGTTACTGAAAGCTTGTTTCTTGTAAGCGGTCCTGTCTATTTGTCTGTACACTCTGCCATCATTGCCCTCACAGAAAATATTTCTGACCCTTTTCACAAGAAACCAAATTCCAAACCAAAGCTCCCATCTTTATATCCATTCCCTTTTTTGTTTTTCCTCGCCTTCTGAGAGAATTGGCCTTGGTTCATAAAGGTGGTTTTTGTTTGTTTCTTTGAAATTTGATTACCAGGTCACAAACCCATTTTGAGCTTGTTGTTGATGATGGTGTTGTTCTTCTTCCACAGGAGCTGGGAGGTTGAGATCAATGAGTCCAACTTGTTGCTTAATAACCACTGTTGCATCATCAGCTGCTCCAACAAAATGGGACCTCTTGTGCCCTCCCAAGGCTTGACCTGACCTAAACACCTTTGAGCAAAATGGACACTCATGGGTTTTCACCTTTTTGGCTGCTGCTGCTGCTGCTGAGGATAAGAACTTGCTGGTCTTTCCTTGAGGGTTCTTCCCACCACCACCACCACCATTGCTCGACTTAATCGTCTTCTTGCTGCTGGCCACATTCTCAGTCTCCAAGTTGTTCTCTCCACTCTCATACAGATTTTCATCTCTGCCTCTCTTGTAGTGGATATTGCTTCTCCTTTGTTGTTGAGCTCCCATTGCACCAGAAGCAACAGCAGCAATTTTGGTAGAGCCTTTTCTCTTTGCATCATTATTGCTCTCCTCAAACCCTGATCTCATCTCAACTCTAGCAAACCTTGCAGTGGAACCATGGAAGGAAACTACCTCTGGTTCAACAACCTTCTTAGGCCCATAATTGAAGTAGTCAGAATCAGAATTTGCAGAATCATATCCACCATCACCACCACCACCACCAGCATCATCATTCTCAGAAGAAATCACTACCTGCCTTTGTTGATGCTGCTTCTTCTTCCTAGCTATTTTCATCTCCAGAAAGCTGTTGTCACCATCACCACCCGCATCATCATCTTCCTCGTAGCAACTCGAACTGTTATTGTTATTATTATTATTCTTCACCCTCATTCTCATCTTGGTAAGGCAAGAAGACTTGGCCTCCAAAACAACAGAATTGTTGTCAGAAGAATCACCAACGTAGCTCAAACAGCCTTTCAAACTAGAGTCCTTTGACAACATCATCAAACACCTAGCTACATCTTCTTGCTCTTGCTCCAGATCAGAGGCCAAAGATGAGAAAGAACCAGAGTCATTCCTAGAAGGAGGGGCAGCAGCAACAACAGGAGAGGAGGTATTAGTAGAGGAAGAATTATATAGACCAACATTTTTGTACCTCATCATTCTCTTGGATCTCCTTCTCTTGCTTGGAGCTGAAGTCTCAGTATCAGATTGATCATCCATCACAAAATCCTTCAACTTGTCACTTGTGTCGGATTGATCATCGTAGTTATAGTTTCTCGAGTGACAAGCCATGTGACCACACAATGCCTTGAGGGATTGAAACCCTTTGCCACATTCTTTGCAAATCTTATCCTGGAGTGACAAGCCTGCTGCAGGATTGTTGACATCAGTTTCAAACTTTCTGGTTTTTTTTGGGTTCTCCCTAAGAATGTAACCCGCAGCATCAGTTGAAGAATCCTTCTTGGCATTGTTCATGTTGAGCTTAGCTGCTTCATCATCGAAATCATCGGTCGAATAATTGGAATTCTGATGGATCCTGATATGGCCTCCCAATGACTTCCCACATGGGTACCTCTTGTTGCAGAACTTGCAAATGAACTTCTTCTTCTGATTTGGCTCCATGATCTTTGGCCTCAAGATTATTCTCCTCTTTTCTTTTTAATCGAAACCCAAATCTAACCCGGATGGAAAACAAGATCAGCAAAGGAAAGAAGGAAGATTAGGAGCAATAGCTTAAGCTCAAAACTAGAAGCTCCAAAATTGCAGGACAATGTGACATTTCGTTATGAACTTGGAAGGAACAAGAAATGGTGGAATGCACAATCGAGATCAAGAAGCAGAGAGAAAACAAATCTCGAAGCTTGATAGTTGATTTCTCTACTAGACTGCGATTGAATCAGAGGGAAAAAAGGAGGAACAATAGTTTTCCTCTAGAGATGTGACAGTTTTTTCTGCGATTGAATCAGGCTTACCAAACTGATGAAAAAAGCAAAAGGAAGCACTCACTAGTTTGTCTTGAGAATAATCTCTTCAACTCTCTCCCTCTTTCTTTATTAACTGAAATCCCAAAAGAAAAAAAACTTAATGCTCCTCTTTTTTTGCTCCCTAATTTTAGACTGTTTCAATGTCAAGCTGTTACTTAACGCCAAGCAAACAAAAAGGAAGACTAATTAAACCGAATTAAAAGCTGAAGTAGAGAGAAAACAGAGAAAGGCAAAAAAATGGAGGAACCCAATATCTAAGATTGCAATTGATGCAAAAAATGGTGGTCGCATGGTTTCTTTATACTTGAAGGGAACTGTACCGAGCTAAGAAGAAGATTAGAGGAAGAAGAAATAAGAAAGAGGAGGAGATCAAAACTGTTTGATGTTTTTGAGTTTGATTGAAGGAGAGAAATGGGGGAGACGAGTGACCTCTTTAGAACGTGCTTAGTTTGGAATAGTGGGAAGATGAGTGATCTATTAGGATGTTACTATGGTGCACCCACAAAAAGAATAATATTTATGTTAGAAAAAGATTGAAATATCACAAGAATTTCTACAAATTTTGTTATGTTTTTCTAGTGCCACAGAGTGTTTAGAGGGAGAGGAGCACCAACAATTGGAAGAAGAAAAAAAACAATTGAAATTAACTAATATTAGTCTAATGTATGGTAATTAACTAATATTTTATTGATTGGTTCTCAGAATCTTGTGATTAATTTTCATTCAAAGTCATATATGACGATATGGTATCTTTAATTGTAACATATTGTGGGCATGTGGTATGATAAGATCGCAGATGAAAAATAAATTGTACTAATATGAAGAGAAAGGATTAGCTATAAAGCCTATAGTAGTGCTCAAGTGTGAGATTTGGAAAAGAGAACCATTTGGTTCGGGTTTATTTTGGGATGCCATCACGTTTGTCTATTTTTCTATCTTTCTTTTCGCTTTGGACAATAAGGATTTCTGAAATTTGTTTTTATATTTTTTGTTTATTTTTCTTTCTAAAGTTAATTTTAGATAATGTAAATTTTTTTTACAAAAGATAATTTATATTGATTAGAAAGAGATCAAACACATTACACTCAGATATACAACCAGGAAAGAAAATTAAAAGAACGACACGTTGTCGGGTTCAAAGAAAGGGTCTTACTAGTCACCAAGTGGGCTACCATATTGCTATTTCGACCTACAAATCGTACATTAAGACCATTACAATTGCCAACAAACAAAAAAATTCATTGAGAATGGCTTCAGAGTGTTATCTTGTTTATCGGCCTGGTTTATCTTATCAATGACCACCTTCAAGTCCCCTTCAAAACGAACCTGCTTGAGACCACAATCCAGACACCACTGGATGGCCTCGTGAATGACTAATTGTTCTACTATTGATGGATCATCAATATAATCGATATGTACTCCCCTAACCAAGGCAATCGAATGGTGATCATTGGTGTTATTACTTATTATTTAGGATGTGAGCGTGTGAAAAAGTGGTTTTGTTTTTTTGGTAGTGCAACTAGAGTGTTTGGAGGGAGATTAAGACGAGTATTCCCATGATTGCTTCTAAAAATTTTGTAACGAAATTTATATAGGGTTAATAGAATTTTTTATTCGGGTCAAAATGCACACATTTTACCTCCTTTTTTCCTTAGATGTTTGAGGCGATTTCACCCAATGGGGTTTGATTTTACGCTAGGTTGTGCTTTGTTTTGCTATGTTTCAGATCCTAAAAGGTAAATCAACCCCGAAAACGAAAGTTGGATGAAAAGGAACAAAAACGGGTCAAAAGGAGAGGACAGCGGCAGATCACGGTTGAAGCCATGAATTCACGGCCACCAAGACCGTGAAGATCGCGCCCCGACCGTGAAGCACAATGGTTCCAGAAGGTTTTTGCACACCTCACTGGACCTCGACTAGTTCACGATCGCTGGACCGTGAACACTCGCCTTGGACCATAAAGTGCATAAGTAAACGGTGCACCTTTGATGAAGATCACGGTCCTCAGCCAATGTTCACGGCCGTGAACTGGGATCGTGAAATGCCTTCGATCTAGGTATATAAAGAGAGTTGAGTTGAAGAAAGAGGGTGAGAGAGCCTAGTGAGATAACTTCTTCTTCAAGGCTCTAGAGAGAGAAAGTGGTGATCAAGGAAGAGGAAGGAGGCTAGAGTTTCATCCAAGCTCAAGGTTTTGGAAATTTACACCTCTAAGGTTGATTTCCACACAAAAGGAAGAAATCATTAATCTCCAAGATGGTTTTCTCTTCCTCCCTTTGTGTATTCCTTCTACCTAGCATGGAGTATTCCTTTATTTCACTTGGGTGTTTGTGAACCCTAGCTAGAAACATGTGAAAGTTTGTATGAATTGAATGATTTGTGTATAGTTGTGTTTGAATGCAAGTATTGAGGTATTTTCATGGATGTTGTGTTGTGTTTTCCATTTCCAACTACTTTTCCAATTTGACCTAGGTAGAGGGGAAACCCCCTTCTTATGAAGAGGCTTTCAAAAGATGGATTTCCTTTGCCTAATTGAGTCACCTACCTAGGGCAAATTAGGCCACACCTCTTACTACGTTTAAGCACCTTGTGTTGGTTGCGATTTAGCCATCCGAACTTTGATTCAAGGGTGAAGCTTGACAACCCTTAGACAATTGGCTAGGAGAGTTACCTAGGTAGCTTGACGTGTGTCCCTTGGCCTATTGGCTAAGAGAGTCACCTAGGTAGCTTGGATTGTAACCCCTTAGCCAATTGATCAAGAGAGTGAACCCGATTAACTTGTTGCTCTTCCCTATGGTTAGGAACCACCTTCATCATGCACTTTCATTCGGTTTAACTCACCTTTATAACTAGCTAGAGGGAACAGCACCAGGGTGAAGCCTTCTTAACTAGTGTTCACACCATTTACTTTTTCAATCGCTTTAGTTTTGAATCGTAGTCCAACCAAAAACCAATTGCTAGATAATGTTTCAAACAATCGAAGTAGGGGTACATGGCCGGCCCGAGTTTGACTTTTAAAACATATTTTCCCTATATTGCACCCGGTTAAGGTTTATACTTGGGCCTTGATTGGAATTTTTATTGTGGTAGTAGGGTCGAGTCAAGTTTTTGGCACCATTGTGTTTGTGGAACTTTCTTGTGTTAGACGAGTTGTGTTTCCTTGAAGTGTGCGAAAGAGGGTGTATGAACCAGAGTAATCCGACACCTTTAGCGCCAAAAGATGAGAATCTTACCTGCACTCTCCGACTCTTGTTTCGGGAAAGGGTGCTGGCGGAAGAAAGAAGAAGGATAGAGGAGAGGGGACAACCACAAGTTGGTCCCGAAGTTGAAGGAGTTGTAGTTGAGGAAGAGTTTGAATCCGAAGAGCAAGAAAGTGAAGCCGAGATGGCAGCTTATCAAGAAGCTCAAATGGGAGCTGCGGAGCAACCGAGGACCATGGGCTACTACATGGCTACCCGGGCGGCGGATATTCAACCTACCATTTTGCATCCTCCCGTGGTCGCCAAAAATTTCGAGATCAAGCCCTGCCTCGTCACCATGATCCAAAACAATGTGACATTTCATGTGCTTAGAGATGAGTCTCCGAGGGAGCATGTTCAGAGGTTTATCGAGATTGTAGGAAGTTTGAAGATAAATGGGGTGCCTGAAGATGCTTTGAAGTTGAGGCTATTCCCCTACTCTCTTGTGGGGAATACACTCAGGTGGCTCAACAATAGACCACCCCTCTCGATTACCTCACGGGATGAATTACTCAACAAGTTCATGACCCGATATTTTCCACCATCCAAGATGGCGGAGTGGCGCAAGAAGATCAACTATTTCGAACAAGAGGAGCATGAGACATTGAGGGATGAATGGGAGAGGTATTCTGACTTTTTTCTCCAATGCCCACAGCACGGATTTGAAGAACAGTTTCGGATTGAGACCTTCTATGGTGGTCTTCTCCAAGATGACAAGATCCTCATTGACTCTCTATGTCAAGGGAAATTGATGAACATGACTCCACCCAGGTGACCTAAATGATTGAAGATATGGCGACAAAAGGGTATGATTGGGGCTTGACAAGAAGTGGTATAAGAGATACCGAGAGAGGAGTACATTCGGTGGAAGCAATTCCTTCGCCTGCCGCTAAGATTGACCGTTTGATTGATGCTCTCCTTGAAGATAAGAAGCAAGGGAAGAAGTTGTCGGTGGCATGTGATTGGTGTTTGAGTACCAACCATGAGATTTCAGAGTGCCAAGTGCCAACTGATGAAGGAAGCAAGCACCCCCCAAGGAATAAGTGAGTTTCATTGTTAATGCTAGGAACAACAATTCCTATAGCAACACTTACAACCCGGGGTGCGGAACCATCCAAACTTTGCTTGGTCTTCCCCGAGTAATCCGAGACCCCCCGATTTCCAAGGGCCGATGGGGAATTATCAACCAAGGTCTCCTTTCATTCAACAAAGGTTAAAATTTCAAGGCTTGAACTTCCAACAACCATTCCAAGTGCAAGGTGGCCAAGGGTTCCAACAACAACAACCCGACAAGTTTGCAAAGCTTGAAGGCCTAGTCGACACCTTTGTGAGTACAAGCTCTTAAAAGTTCGAGAAGATTGAGCATTGGTGTCACATTGGTCGATCGCTCCATCATTAGTCC